GGGGTGGTCCCATATAAATTTGGTCAAAATCTAATAATTAGGTCCATGAGAAAATCCTCAAACTCTTCATTTTTTTTTATGTATGTTTAGCGATAATGCTTTACTACCTTGTTCGATTTATATGATTCTTTTTTTGTTGGTGGTCCCATATAAATTTGGTTAAGATGTGGTGATGGCATCTACACGTTTTTTAAATTTTTTAATTTCTAATTCTTGTTAGCATCTCTTTTTTGTTTTAAAGATGTTGTTCATTCTTCTAGCCAAAATCACGATGTCATGATTACAAGGTTTAAGCCATCTACATGCATACAGGAAATTTGATTATTTTTCTGTAAATTTCATATTTATAGTTTATTTATTTACTAATAACTTATACTTTTCACCAAATATCTACCTGTATAGATAGAACGTCAGCTCTCATACTCTTTTGACAATGATAAATGAACAAAAAATTTATTATTATTCATTTTGAAAAAAAAAATATATCTCTTAAGTATCAAAAATTTCAACAAATGTTTCCGTTTCATTTTGTGTTAACCTTACATTTTGCAAATGTGTTTAAACTGCTTAGATCTTTATTATACTTAATAATATTCTATGAACTTTGTGATTGACAGTTTACTACTACTACCCTTCTAAGGGAATATCCATTTTGTGTCAAACACAAGTTAAATATATAAATCGCTCCTTTGCAGTAAATGAAATTCCTAATATGATCTGAATCGTCGCCACCATGTTGTTTTTTTTTTCTTTCGGACTCGGGGGGTAATTACTCTTTGTATCTGCGCCTGCCATGCATAGTTCGTCCTGGAAGATGAAAATATAACCGTTTCTTCAATTCTGGAATGGAATGAAGATGCGGTATGCCTTTTCTATGTTCTGTCTAGAAACTAACGAGTCTGATACAACTTTAGGTCATACATTTGGTAACATTTAATCAAAATTTGACGTTATAACATTCTTGAATAGAAATAGAATTTATTCATCTTTGAGAAGGATACACTATACAAAGACACTAGGTACATAATGTAAAATCCTAAAAAGTGTCAAATAAAATACATTAAAAAATAAAATATACATAATAGACAATTCATGTTAAGATTAGTTCAAAAAATCTTCTATACTATAAAATACATTATTTACAAGAAAATCATTAAGATGTTTTCTTAAATCATTACGACTAATTTGATGATAACCTGTAGTATCTTCTAATATGTTACTGAACTTATTGTAACACTTAATCCCAATATATTTTGGTGAATGCTGACTTATTTGTAGTCGTGAAAAAGGTTGATGGATGTTAAATTTTAATCTAGTATCATATGAGTGCAGGTCTTTATTTTTCTTAAATATATGCTCATTATCTTTTATGTATAAAATTAGTTGAAAAATAAAAAGGGGGAGGTAGTGTTAAAATTTGCGTTTTCTTGAAAAGTTCTTTACATGATGTTGTTAATGTCACCTTATACATGGCTCGCAGAACCTTCTTTTGAGATACAAAGGCTCTTTCAAAGTATGATGAAGAACCCCAAAATTAATCCATATTGTAGAGTTGAATGAACCAAACCAAAATAGCATAGTTTTAAAGTATCAAAAGATAGTGTCTCCCTTAAATTTTTGATGATATAACAACAAGTACTTAATTTTGAAGTTACCATTTTTATATGAGCTTCTCAATTTAATTTGGGATCTAATATTATTCCTAAAAATTTTATGTCATCAATGCTTTGAATAGTTTTTCCGTCATCGTGCAAGTAGGGTTCGTAATCTGGTAATATGTTTTTGGGTAGAAATTGCATGAAGTTTGTTTTTGTTACATTTAATGCCAGACCGTTATCTTTACAATACTGGTTAACCCTTTATCGGGCAAACATAGAAAGCTTAATAAGAAAAATATGTTATTTTTCTCATACATTTTTATTGCCCATCTAAAGCAGAAGTATTACATAGAATACCCAAGTTTTTGAAAAAAGAGAACTTTGATAATGTAACCATGTGATTACATTGCCTGATAGAGTAACAGAATTTCAAAAAAATACACCTATATTAGATTTATAAAAAATATTTATTCTGAACGATAAAATAACAAAAAAAAAAATACAGAAAATTAAAAAATGAATTGTGAAAGTCGTAGGAAGAGATTTTTATTCCAGTTTAGCCTACAATATTTTGTATAACATCCGTGTACTTCTCCATTGGTTACGGGAATAAAATTTCCTCTTCTTTCCAAAAACAAATCATTTGTTGGTAGGTCGTCTTTACTTTAATTGAAAATTGCTTGAACTTTTTTTTTACCTAGGAAGTTGAAATCGTAATTACATGTATTCTGCCGATATTTCGTCAATACCTTCAGTGGGTTTAGAAGTAGTTTTTTTGATTATAGTGATGATTTCACTAGGAGTTGTTTGAAAAAGAAAAAACTTTTATGATGTTTATCAATACTCATAGTATAGTTAGGTACAATATTATTTTTATTTACAATAATAAAATAGTCATTGATATAATTTACTTTTTCTAAGGGCGTTAATTTGTCATCATTTGTAAGTTTAATAGGATTCAATAAGTTGTTTTTTCTTCTTCCCCTACTCTCGTTTATTATATTCCAGGATTCTTCGTTATTATCTACTTTTTAAAATGTGATCATTATTTTTTCTTCTCAAATATTGTTTTGTTATTTTTTGATACTCTTTTTTTAAATTATTGTAACGTTCTGTATAATATGTAGAATTTATTTCTTTCTTTAACCTGTTCATTTCACATAATAGATTATGTAACTCTTTAATATGAGGTGGAAACGGTTTTTTTAATTTTTGTGGTTTTATCGCTTTCTTTGTTTTCGTAAATACAATATTGTAGTGGTATAGAAATGATTCATAAAAAATAGAAAATGTATCATTAAAATTAGTAGATGTGTATACTTCACGCCAATTTTCAACTGATAAAATATTTATAAAAGTTATTGCGTTAGGATCACTTAAATCTCGTTTTTTATCTGTATTTAAATTCGTTATTTTCAAAATTAGGTAGTTTAATCGAACATAATAATTAGTTATGATCAGACAAAAAGTATCATATACACCCACCTTATCTACATCAAAATTGGTAAAAAAAATTGTCTAAACAAGTTGAGGTTGTACTTGTTGTTCTCGTTGCAACATTTATATGATGTTTAATATTAAATTCCTTCAATAAGTCAATTAAAACAGTTTTTTGATTACCTTCAATCAAAAAATCTACGTTAATATCACCACAAATAAAATAGTGATTGTCGTTTTGATAAATATTATGAATTAATAGCTCTAGCTGATTTATAAAAGTGCTAAACTTCGTAAAAGGTGGCTTATATACAGTAATAATAAATTAAAAAAGTTTAGAATCGATATTTATTTTTCCCACACATACTTCAAATTCACCTTCTTTACACCACCTATGTAAATTAATTGATTCAAAATTTGCAGCAATACTTGTTTTCATAAATATACTAGCGCCACCTTTTTCTTTATTTATCCGTGAAAAATATGATACTAGCTTAAAATCGTCAATTGAGGTAGCTTGTAAATTGTTAGAATCAAGCCAATGTTCAGTAACACATAGAATACTTACATTTTGTTTCTGTAAAATTAAATTTAGATCAAAGCATTTATTGGCAAAACCTCCCTTAAAGTAATTTTTAACTGTTGGGAATTGCAAAATAGTAATTCATTATTTTCTTTCAAACAGTGGTTTTCCATAGTAGTCCTTGAAAAAGTAGTTTTGAAAAATTTTCTTCACTCTTATGCGATCTCTGGTTCTGTGAATCTTCAAGAAATCGCTGACCTTGTTTAAAGTTGAATCGGGAATAAATTATATTTTTCGGCCAAAAATCTGATTTACATATTTGCTCCTGAAAATGAGGATCTATTCCCACTAGACAAGCTTGATTATTCTTACAAAATATGTGTCTAGTTTCTTCACATAAATGTCTTCTGCCTTTATGAATGTATTTCTTAACATTCTCTTCATTTATAGTGTCTGATACTCTAGATACAAAGAGCCAAATTTTTTTGTTTGATTTTTCCCTTCCTTTAAATTCATCATCACCTTCTCCACTTCCCATAATTGTTTTGTTTTTTCTCCTTTACCGTCTTGTTACTGTGATAAAATCATTCTCATGACTTCCCTCATTGGTATCATCTGCTAGATTTATTATTTCATTAGTTGTTTGTAGGGTTTGAATTTTCATCAGTTCTAATGCAACTTGTTTCCTTTGGAGGAATGAGTCATCCTCTACAGGGGCATTCCTATAATCGCTTGTGTTTTTGTTTGGTATTTTCCAACCGGTATACTTACACTTTCAGTTTTTGTTTGTTTTGATTTTTCTATAAAAACTGGTCTTTTATTATCACTGATAGATAAGTTTTGATTTTTATTGTCAACTCTTATAAATTTAGGATTTATTTCGTTATATTGTGTTTGCAGATCAAAATATTTCGTTTTTTCATTTTTAAGTTCAACTTTTAAGATTTCTATTTTTTCATTCATTAATTGGTTTGCTAGTTTTTGTTCTTCTACTAGTAATTTTAAAAAGTTGTAAGCATCAATGCAAAATACATCACCTTTACTTTTTTTCTTGATCCATAGTCTTAGATTTTTCAATAACTTTTGGTTTACAGCATCTTATGATAACATTTACTCTTTGTGCACACGATGGATGATATTTCAAGTCACAGATTTCACATTTTACACTAGCAGTTACTGATTTTTTACAATAATTACACTCATCAGTATTTTGCGCGTGCGGTTCAGTCGGTGCCATCTTGGAGTTAGTGTATCTATTTCCATTTTTCTTTAAACCTTCAATGGTATCGATATCTCCTATTTGCTTTTTGATTGAAAATATGACAAAAGTGGACTTTCCCTGAAGGGTAGAATATTATTAAGCTATTAAATGTGCTAGGTTAAAATTTGATAAACCAGTGGTTATTTAAGCAGGAACATATTATATTTTATAATTTTTGTAGAATGGTAGAAGTAATGATCATCCTCGACAAAATGTTTTACCCGATCTACTTAGCCAAGCTAGCGGTAGCCCAGGTACGCCATCTACAAGGGATAAATCCACCAACGAAGAGGTACGTATAACACCGTGCAATATTTTATATTTAATTTTACATTTGCTGGTGTCCAAAAAGATTTTTTTTTTTTTGAGTTAGCTGTGAAAAGATAAAGGCACTTCTTTGATGTATAAAATGTTTGTTAGATATTACAAATTGGGCTTAATCCAAGACGTACCTTTATTTATCCGCTATAACCGAGACTTAAACACTTTGACGTTAATTGTAGGATTTAGAAAACAATATTACTATTCTTAGTCACTGGTTATCTTGAAATTCAGTCATTTTTTGTAAACAGTAGGTATAGGAGTATGTAGAAAAATATTATTTATACTTTAAATCTAAAGAACTGAATACGTTTTTTGAAATTGAAATAGAAAAATTAGTATCATTAATCAGTAATGTCAGATTTTTGAGTTCGATACTCCTGGATGCATTTCCTCCTTTTGGTCCCCTGCTAGCTATTTTATGTGTTCTATTGCTTTATCTATTTTTCTTGTGTTTAAATTAATTCTGGTTAATGATTATATCGTCGTTTTCAAAATGAAAGTCGTAAAAGTATTAATGTTCATATCAGATCATTGTGACACGGTATTATTTTTTAAATCCTTAAATGATTTTATTATGAATTTCTGGGAAATGGTGTACATAATATTTCTATTATATATGTATTGTTTGTTCACTTGTATTTTGTCTCAAATTATCCTAAAGATGCACACTAAAAAATAATAAACCTACTAAATTTAAGGTGTTTCCATAAATGTGTAAATTTAAAAAAAAACTGCTTATTTTTTATTGTGAATTTAAAAAACGCTTAAAAACATGCACTCGATAAAAAAATATTCTAAATGTGGAGTAGTTGTGACATAAATATAACTGAAAATAGAAAAAAAAAGCATATGATACAATTTTTTACCTTCAGGCGTCAATTAGTTCAAATATGTTACCTTTTTTTGGATTTATTTCTCTAGAAGCCATATAAATGGCGATTTTATTTTTAGTCGTTGATTACTCTGTAACGTATCTTTTTGAAAATGTACGTGCTCTAAATACTAGAGTTATTGTGCTACTGATCATAGAAGGTTAGAGAAAATAATGTTAAAAATATACGAGGTGTTGCTTGAAAAAACTATTTTATTGCTATCGAATCGTTTATTACTTTTCTTTTACAATTTTAACATAATCGCCTTCAGTATACTTTCCTCCACAATCCCTACACTACTCCATGTGGATTTTTCATTGGCCATAGCAGTGCTGTTGATCATTTTTTGAAAGCATGTTAATGGTCTCCACCGCTTTTCCTTTCAGTGTTATTTTGACCTTGCGTAATAAAAAGTCTAGAAGCAAGATTCGGTGAAGAAATACTTATCCAAAAACCTCTTGATAGACCGTACAGCGTTGTCCTAATAAAGACACGTTTACTTTTTTTATAAAAAATCTACCTAACATTTTCTTCACCAGCCTTTTCAACGATTGTGTTTGTTTTTGAGGTACCAGATCGTTCTGGACGCTATTTCTTTCAATAGAGCAAATCGTTTGGCGGATGTTTCGAGTTTCCAAAGGAATTTTACATTGATGCTCTCCTTGAACACATGCACATATTTGCCATCTGAGCACAGATGCATGATCTTTACGATGATAGCAATAGACAGGAGATATTATGTGACCCGCTCGTTTGCCCTTTGAGCTTAATCTTCATCGTTTGCCTGCAGAACGATCAATCTAGTTTTTTTTAGCCACATCTCTTATATTTTCACATTTCTACTGTTTTTTAATGAGCATTTTAATAGTTTTATTGTAAAATTTGCCTTTATACCTCAAAATAAACGTATTTTTCCAAAATCCTAAATTCTTATGTTTGTCACTAATTTTAATGTCTTTCTCTTTGGTTTTTGCCTAACGAGTGACGTCCGTAACAACGTGTGTTTCTTAAAATGTAAGTATGAAAAAACATTCACTGTTGTCTATGTAGTGTTATGCATTATTCGCTATGTATTGACGATTTTAATGGCATGGTTACTAATTTTACTCTTTTTGTCATTGCTGCACGCCATTTTCGTTTTTCATTATGGCTTTAATGTTTTATATAAAAAAAAGGTTTGTTCGTTTATTTTTATTTATTTAAAAATATAATTATTATACAATTTGTAAAATATAATTTAATAATTATTGGTATCGGGTATACAATGAGACTTGGGCACGTTAATGTCTTATTTATTTATCGATTTGGATCAAAGTTGCAACAAACATCCTAAACATAATTACGAATTGACACTTGTACTTAACCAATACGGCCGAGTTCCGGTTTCACCGGAAATGTCATTAAGTTTCATTTTTAATGGATCACCCTGTATATTTTATGTGTTTTGGAATATACGGTTCAAATATCATATGACTGTGAATCGGAAAATAATGAACTCATTTATACAATTTAAATAATTTCCAAAGAGACATTTGAACTACCTTCAAACAATTTGGCCAAACAAAACTTAATTTTTCTTATATTAGCTGTAAATGTTATAAACGAATTAAGCGTCTATTATAATCAGGCAGAAATGTAATCGAAAATGCAGATAATTTTAAAATAAAATGAGTTGATGGTTTTTATTGCCAGTATACTTTTGTAGGTCGTTTAAAGAAATGCAAATTGTACGACTTAAACGAACAAACAAATTAAAAACCTTTATTAGCCTTATTTTGCACTTTACATTTCAACAATACATGGCGAAATTGTAGTTCTTCCATTCATATCTCTTCTAATAACCCATTGTTAGATTTAATTAATTATAATCCTATTTTGTTTTACATTTTTTTATGTGTAAAACTAACGGGAAAGACTTCATTCGTATTTAGTTTAAAACCTAACTACTAATATTAACATTATATTCAAACTATTACATTTAAATGTATCCTGTAGTTAGGGTGTTGATTTAATCCCGTAATAAATTAATAATGATTTGTTTCTATGTCTTAAAAACATAAAAACTTTTTCTAGATCTGTTTATTTGGAGTGCATCTTGCTTAGAATTATTTTCAATATGGTGTTCTTAGTTTTTATTTTTTATTTATTGTTGTCCCACTTCCCGTAGCCCATTCTAATTGAATATTAGGCGCCATCTTTTACTTCCATGATTTCTTTAATCTTTCATCATCTCCGTTCATTGTCAATCTATTTTCGTTAACAGTTCTCTTTATTCTTCTTTTTGTCAATAAGTTATGGTTTTAGTAGTATTTCATAAAATATAAATCATTTAATTTATTTTAAAAGAATGTTGTATGCACGTGTCATCTCGTTCATTGTAGTAAAAAACAGCTTTTTAAATCTTGGAACTTTGCCCAAATCACTTATTTTTTTCTTCATTTATAAATACACCGCTCTCTTAGAGACAGTTGATTGTAAACATATATTTTTAATAAGATGTGAACCCTTTTACCTATTTATTATTGCAATGGATGTAAGTAATTATTAATAACATTTTATGTTTTAAATGTGTTGCATGTAAGTATTGATATACAGCATGCTATTAACATTGGGTGGATATTTAAAATGACTAACATTATGAAATATATTTTTACTAAATTATTTACAGACCGATTTAATTGTCACTTGTCTGATAATTAGGTGCTTAAGGCCATTTTACACTTGCGGTAGATGTGATGCGGCAGGCTACTGTGGTTTGGACTAAATTTAACATTGACTCGATTTTCTCGTGGTTTGTTTTTAATTAATTTTCACAGTAGATTTACTAAATGCAGTGCTACACTTTTTTCATTTTTTGATACAAATTCTAAGTAGAAAATCACAGAGAAAACCAACAAAAAATATACTAAACATTCAAAATGACTGCCAAGAAATTTTTTGAAAATCGGATTCATAGAGCCTGCGAAATTAAAAAATTATCGTTATTTTTTTATCAAACCTCTTATACGAAATATAAAATATATTTTGAAAATTGTAGAGTATTTACCATCAAAAGTAAGAAAAAAAGATGATCCAAACATTAACACATTAACAGTTTGCTTCCGTACAAAATCAATTCACTTATAACTAATAATGTATTCTTTATTTTTCAGTTCCTCATAATCCCTCCCTCCTCAAACAACAAAACCCCCTCGCAGCCCACCCATATGCATGCTAACGCTCTTGCCTTACAACAGAAACAACGCTCCTTCCTGGCTTTCGGCTTCGGAGCATCGTCGGCGCCATCTAGACGAGAGTCGCACGTTAACGTCAACGTCACGCCGACGTCGCACGATATCTCGTCGGACACTCCGGAGATACGGAAATACAAGAAGCGGTTCAATAGCGAGATTTTATGTGCCGCGTTATGGGGTGAGTACAGATTTATAATAATGATAATACTCTCCCTAATTCACCCCCTTACTAGTGAATTTCAACCCCTGAAACCGACTGAGCTTGTGTGGGGAAGGGACGGCTATTATTATTATTTTCTGTATTTTATTATTTTTCTTTGTTTGTTCTTAGGTCATTTAAACTATCTTATGCCGCCTGTACCGACATACAGTGAGCACCATAAGTCTTACCCCCCCCCCCCTATCTAACTCGTTACTGGAGTCTTGTTAGGAAAATCGCCGAGACACGTCGATTTTTGATTTCTACAATGTACATTTTTGTATAAATAGTTTACCCTTAATTTCATCCCTTACTGAAGGGGAGCAACCCTTTCGAATTTAAATGGCATGGGATGGTGAGTGATAGCTCATTTGAAAGATGGTTTTATTCTCTATTCAACCGTGTAAAAAAAATTGAAATTTGCTTCATTAATTCTCGACTAATTGTTGTTTCAGAATAACGGAAATTAACGTAGCGCACTCATCCTTAGAATTAAAATTCGGCTCTGCATGATTTCGGTTTCGGTTCAGACGTGAAGTAAGACTTTTTGCCATTAGAAGGTCACTGTTAGTCTAGTTGCTTTCCTATTTTGTGAGGTTTTGTTATTTTTAAACATTAATAAATCAACATGTAATGAAGCAAATTTCAAAATTTTTTGCACGGTTGAATAGAGAATAAAACCCCCTTTCAAATGAGCTATCACTCACCACCCCATGCCATTTAAATTTTTCGAAAGGGTTGCTACCCTCCAATAAGGGATGAAATTAAGGGTAAACTAATCATGCAAAAATGTACACTGTAGAAATCAAAAATCGACCTGTCTCGGCGATTTTCCTAACAAGACCCCAGTAACGAGTTAGTTAGGGGGGGGGGGGTAAGACTTATGATGCTCACTGTATATGATGTTATTACTGTTTAAAACGTACATCTGTTCGCATTTAAACACTAGCGAAACATAAAACAAGCCTGTCCTGTCATAATAATGCCATACAGATAGATAGTTTATTTATCCTGGAAGATCATTTACATGATATAGGAAATGTCAAAAGATATAATAATAACAATAAATACAAGAAAAGTACAAAAAATACAAATTAAAAGTAACACCCATAAAAATAAAAATATAAAATACAGTTAGCTAAGAATACTTATGTCAAATTGAAATAAAAAGTGTGAACAACAAAAAAAAAGTGTAGTGGGACATTAAAAACATTAATTGCACGAAAAATTCTTTTATTAGATAGATAGTTTCAGTTTGATTTTAAATAAGCTATAAGTAACTATGGTTTTAATTGAGAGAGGGAGATAATTGAATAGGCGTCCACAATATATTGTAAATTTCTTTCATATAAAGCTGAAGCATGTTTTGGAATAAGTAATTGGTTTCCATTTCTAGTAGGATAATGGTGGGTGTCTTAAGTTACGGGGAAATTGTGAAATATTTTGTTTCGTGTACATAATAGTTTTAAATATAGAAATTGAAAGAAAAGTAAGTAATTTATATTTTTTAAAGTGATCTCTGCAAGTAGTTCTGGCATCTAAATTAAAAATAAGCCTGATTACTCTTTTTTTGTGAAATAAAAATACAAGAAACCTCAATAGCTCCTTCCCATAGTAGTACATTAAATGACAGTTGAGAATATACCAATGCATAGTATACATTGAGAATCTGACTTGTAACCAAAATACTCTTTAATTGCAGGATGGCATAATAAGCACTATTTATATACAAAATCAATATGTGATTCCGAGCTCATATTACTGTCAAGAAAGATTCCAAGAAATTTAGTCTGATTTGACGAAGGAATAAAATCATCATTTACTTGTATGAGAACGTTCGTAATAATTTTGGTTCTAGAGAAAAATTGCATGCATACAGTTTTATTTGCATTCACATTTAAAGAACCTTTTACACCAGTTTGTGAATTCATTGGCAATGGTGTTGAGATAGCTCTGTAGTTGTTCTGGTGAGTCAGCATCAGTTGCTGCTGTGCTATCGTCAGCATAAATTGCAATATGTTTGGCAGAAAGATATTGCGGCATATCATTTATGTATAAAAGGAAAATTAGTGGTCCAAATACTGATCCCTGTGGAACTTCTCGTTCAACGTCTCTTATTTCAGATACATAATGTTTCATTTTAACGACGATTTTTCTGTAGTTAATATACAGTTCATCAAATTTCTAGAGGTGTTCGACGCCCAGACAGAGAACGCGCTACGTGTGACTAAGATAGCTATTGTACAGTCTGCTAAACAAGTTATTTTAAATAGTTTTTAATATTTTTAGGTAATTAAATTTTAAAAGTGTGAAATAGTTTAGGGATTAAATTGGTCTGCTTGGACTTTCTTAGAACGTTTTTAAAAGCAGCTAAAGATAGTATGTAGAATTGAAAATAATTATTATGCCATAAAAGGTGTTTTGGAATTCCTTCAACCTTTTGAAATTGAGTCAGAAAATATAAATTTTATAGGATAGCGGAAAATACCTATAATTTTTTTGTAGGCCTTTGTAAATCGTGGAAATAGTTTATATTTTATTTCTACCTTATTAAGGAAAATGGTACCTATTATTAATAACGGTTGTTTCTGAAACATTACTAAAATTTTCGAAATTTTGTTTTTCTACAAAATAATAAACTATACTATTTAGAAAAAAATTTATTTCTCTTATAATTTTATAAAAAATAACAGGGGAATATTTACATTTCTTGATCTATTAAACAAAACGATAAATTATCTCGACGAATGACACCATGTTCTAGTATGGAAGCTAGCTTTACATTTTTGTTGGTGGTTTCATGGGTTTCATATCAATTTTTTGTAATTGTAGTTTACACGTACATATACCTCTTAACACTTTGTTTGCTTTATTAAAAAAGTGTGTTGTTGTGATTTACGTCGAAATAAGTCAAAAACAACTTGAAACCCCATATAAAATCAAAAAGGAGAAACGGAAAAAAATTGAGCCTGTAAATGAACACAACTCAGAAACAAAAATAGCTATCTAATAATAAAAAAATAAAATTTGATTCTTGTGCAGCTTCATCTATATCATTAACTGTTTTTGGTTTTTTAATGGTTTTTCTTGGTGATGAAAATTCCGATATCTCACGGTTATCGATTCTTTTTTTCTCTCCAGAAATGCGGACGACAGTGTTTTTAGATACTCCTGTGGCTGCAGCAACACGATCATTTACATTTTTAAATGGTATTGAAGGTGAATTAAAGTTTCCTTCTCTTCTCATAAACTCTATAACATTGGCTATTATTTCGCGAGATTGACTGTTAATCACGCGGCCTCTTAATTTGCTATTAAACTCCATACTTAGGTTCTATTAAACTGTACCCAGCTAGCACAAAAACATCCCATCTACGTTAATAAGCTGCAATTTTAGGCTCTTTAAGCTCGCATGCAATGTACTGTAAATGTAAGCCTTATCTCCCTGCAACTACCGAATGTCCGCAACGGCAAGACTTTTATAGCACATCTCACAGAAGTTACAAAGTGAAGTTCGAAAAACATCACACTAGCACTTTTACGGTACTTACCCCGAAAGTTGCTCTGAAACGTTCTATTGATGTTATAATGTGAATTAGATCTACAGCATTATACAGTGTGTCCACGGATGGGCTTAACTATACTTGTGAAAATATTTATTTTAAATTAAAAAAGTAATTCTTCATAATTTCTTACTTGTTAAATAAATTCGATTCACATTGAGAAATTATGAAAAATAACTTTTTCTTTAATTTAAAATAAATATTTTTACAAGTATAATTAAGTCCATCCGTGGACACACATTGTGTAATGTAATACAGAGAGGCTGAAATTGAGGCTATAGTAAAATCTCAATCGAGACATGAAAATTTAAAATAAAACAAAATATTTATATAAATTTATTATTAAAATGTTCTTGAAATCAAGTACCAATAGCACAAAAGTAGAGGTAGGTGTAGGAGTGTTCTTTTATTCAGTGCTGTATCCAGCGCTTGCAGCAAACCGTTCGTTCACCAATGAGCCAAGGCATATGTGATAGACGAATGGTGAGGATAATCAATCATTTAAGTTAACCTAAAATATAAGGGTTCAAATATAAAACGACTGCAGAATAGATAAATTACATCAATCACTGATGGAACAATTATTGAATAAAAGAACACACCTTATATCACAAACACAAGTACACATGTGGGATAGAAGAAGCTACCTAGAAAGCACTGAACGATTGGACAAAATTAGCTAAATAGTATAATAAGGTACCAATATTGCAAAGGTTCACTAAAACCTTAAATGGTGAACGATGATAAAGCTACATTGGTGAAAAATAATAAACGAATACAACAATGACTAGGTACATATTACTAGAGGATAGCTAAGTTCGCTGATTTCTTACCTAAGACGCAGAGATATATCTTTTTTAAATCAAGCCTTTTAACTTTTTTTGCATAGATATTTATAAAGTGCTATAATGTAACCTAACTATGACAATTTATTAGAAGGGCATAAATTATATTTTTATATAAAAAGATTTTACTTCTCAATACATTGAATAAAAAAGAAATTGATAACTTGTTTACCTATTATTAATTAAAGGAAATTATATAGAAATTAAAAAATATGCCTTACTTTGTTGTTTTAAATAAAACAACCAATGTTAGTGTATTGAAATTTGTTTGAATTTTACAAATTTTATGCTTGATTTCCAAAGTAGATATATCGATGGCTCAATCAAAAAACGCCACAAGTCAATAAACAAAGCAATTACATTTTTGGTTCAATGGATGCAAAATATCATTACGGTTTTACTTTAAATACCACCACAAACAAAAATATCCTTAAAGATAAATCATTTAAAATGTAGCCACAAACTGTGTCTAAAACTGCCTCAATTCGAGTTATTTTCTTCAAAAACACCCAAATTTTTTACAACTATGCAACAACTCACTTTTATAATCGTAATCATTTTATTTAACAGCAAAATATCGAAGCTTTTAAATAAAATATAAAGAGTATGTCAAAAACAAAATAATGATAATAGAGACTTACAAAATTTCAAAATGAAATTTCTCAAAATAATAGTATTTTAGTTGTGGCAGTATTTGATTGAGCCATCGATATGTAGATTTTATAAAAAACAACTGGTGTTTCTTAGCAAGATATTCTATTATACTCGAGAGTATCATCTATGATTTCTCTCAACTTTTCTGCTGGGTTTTCACTTGAATTGATGGTTGCATTTCCAGGCAATCTAGCCTGTTGAAGAGAATGAACAGCTTGAATTCTGATATACCTGACATATCATGTACCTATAGATTCACTTTTTATAAAACTTCAGGTGTTATATTCTTCTTTACACTTCTGTAGTATTTACTTTTGCTTCTAAAATTCCTAGAATGTCAAAGGAAACCTAAAAAATAATATTTTTAAAATGTATTTTTAGTTCGATAAAGTATAATTACCTGTTATAAGTATTTGGTGTAAAATGTTGCCGGACATTCGGTTAAATGTTTATCTTCTGGTTTACAACGATTGATCTGCAATTCTTTGTTTTTATTGTAGTTTTTTTTTATTTGGTGTCATCGGCATCGACTGCTAAAAGATACTTAATGAATGAAATAATAAATTTACATCAGGCATTGTAATCTGAAACAAAGACAATGGTTTAGAAAATAGTTATCTATTTTATAGAGGACCCTTACCAAATCTATTCGAATTTATAAATAATTATTTATAAAATAAATTCTGGATGTCGAAAAATAAACCATTAAAAAAGACAATTGACAAGAAAAACTGACAAGTGACAATTGACATAAAACTAAACGTTCTGAATTCAAATTTGTAATGTTTACGGTAGGTTAACTAGGTAAATAACAAATAGAAGTTTTGCGAGGTTTTGATTTCCCTCAACAACTTCTCATGAACGTTGCATTTACGTTGTACAGTAATGTTATTACGTTCCCTTAATGCAACATCGCCGAAAGGCTTGGCAACGTTATGTGCTAGCTGGGTAATGAGCAAAAAACACAAACGAAAATAAAAGAAATGTTTTAGCGAAATTTACATCTGACATTTACGTCTGAATGAAATAGTGAAATACTTGATGCGCAGAGTGTACTTTCATTGCGTAAATCCGTCGGGATGCCTGTCAGTAGTGGTTTCTCTGTCTAGCCGTCGAAAGCCTCTAGAAATTTGATGAACTGTAAGCCACTAAAGGAACATTCCTCTAAAGCCCAGAGCAGATACTTTATGAATAATGATGTCAATAGTATCAAAAGCTTTTCACAAGTCAAAGAAAAGGGCACCTACATATTTTCTCTAATAGTTGATTATAAACATAGGTAAAAAAGCAGCGGAAGCATGTAAATTTGTTATAATTTTAAATTTGGTTAGGTAGGACAGCATTTTTTGATATATGCATTTTTCGAAAACTATGCAGAAGACAGTAGTTACCGTAATAGGTCTATAATTTTCTAAAATAGTATGATCGAAATGTTTTCGACCACGGGTATGCGTTTTAGGGGCTTCTAAGCAGCCTTTTTTGTCTTTTCGCGTACAATACGTTCAATTGTTGAAACAGATACTCCATTTAAAAAAGAACTGCGGTTTACAGCTTCATTTGTAAGAAGTGTCTGTTTCAGTCCATCATACACTTTCCATATAATGTTCTTTTCATCCTTTGATAAGGGCTTTCGCCGATGTAATTGGGTTTCACTTGGACCCGCCTCTGAATCCATTACTATTGTAACAATATAATTCTACTATTTATTAAACTTTTAAAGTACCTACCAAATATATTACACAATAAATATAACTCCTTGAATATGCACTACCACTATCAAATGCGCTGGTTCAGTGTGATGTCATTTTGGTTCCACTGACATTTAATTCTAACCAAACTTTTAACAAAAACATCAATAAATTTTACATATACGTTTTGACTGTTTTTAGTTTATTTCTTAATATTGTTTAGAGTTCACAAAAAATAGTTTAAAGATACGTAATTGGTAACTAAACAATTGTATTTTTGATGCATGTCATCTACTTACTTTAGAAATATATTTATAAAAGTGAAAAAACGATATAATTTAGGTAAACAAAACGCACTCAAAAATCTACTGTCACTTTAATTGTCAGTGGAACCATAATTACATCATCACTGAACCAGCGCATTGTAAGGCACAAACATGAACACCTACTCGTATATCAGAAAAGAGCACTTATACAAAAAAGTGTTTATAAAATATAAAATAATTATCGTAAATAGTTAAAGCGATACAAATCTAACTTCGTCGAAAGTTAGTATTCAATTGTCTTTGTGCCTGTGCTGACAATATTCAATCTGTAACCCGTATGTCGTTTATTTACTTGAAACACATTCATTGTCATCGCCTCGAAATATTAGGGCATCATCTTACAAAATGTTACTCTCTATTGCAGAGTTAAAACTGATTTAGGGGTTTTGACTCTTTACCTGATCCACACATGGACCGACTTTTTTTGTCTGTCTAACTAAATGAATGTAACGATCAACGAAATTGCCAAGAACAGAGATGACACGTTTTTAAAAGCGATGTTTTTAAAACCATTAAACACAGATAACCAAGTCATTAGGGAATAAATATATTCATTTCTTGAAAACTATCAAAAACGTATATTTAACGCATCATCTTTGTTTAAATAAAGATGTTGACAAACAAATTTAATAAAGTTTACTAACAAATACCTAATAAATAATAAATAATTATTTGATACGCCGCCCATGCTGACTCTGTTACTTTCCATCGGAATTTTCATTCATAGACAACAGTGTTGATCATGCATATGACTCACCTTCTCCAATATTTTGTTCTAGTATAGTGAGTCTATCCTTGACCGTTTTTGTTTATTCATATTCACGTAGGTTGAATGTTTTGACAATTTAATTTGAAACTTTGCATTATATCACTAAGTAGACTTTTATTTCGTGAATCAAACAAATAATTTATATTAAAATCCCCACATACCATCGAACATTATAACAGAACGGTTTAAAACATAAGAAAGAAGATCTACAGATATTTATAATAGAGTACTTTAAAATATTGAAGAACACAAGATATACCACAGCATTCAAAATTTACTTGTTCAGATATATTGTTTAGGAATGTTAGTTAATCATAGTGTTTTTTTTTTTTGTGTAAATAAGAGCTCCTCCATGAATTTTTGTATTACGAAGACACGAATTAGCTAAGGTATACTTTTTAAAATTGAAAGAATTTACAGAAATTTCGTTACACCAACATTCCATAATGTAAAGAATATTGGGCCTATATTAATGAAGCAAAACTTCAACTCGACTTATTTTATTAAGAATGGATTGGCTATTTATCATACATTAAGTCAATAGTATATTCCCCTGGTCTAAAAAATCAGTGTTTGCTTGAATGTGAGTATTATCTATACTCTCAAAATCATCAAATATAAGGAAAGCCTCTTTACTATTATTACCAACATCATTATTATTAATTATTTTTATTGGGTTTAAAGTTGTTTTGATTTATATAACTATTATCTAATTGACTTGTTTTTATATAGATTATTTGGATTACTACTACAGGATAGTGTAATTTTTGACTTTAAGTTAGGACAAATTTTGTAGTTTTGAAACTTGAAACGTAACTTTTGTTACATATATTAAGAAAGGAAATATTTCGGTTCCAGTTTTGTTTAACAAAGTTGAATCAATTCAATAATTTAGAATTGAATTTGAGTATACGATTTTCATTAGTAAAGGTTTTAGGCGTAGAAAGAACTATTAAATTGGTGTTAGTACAATATTTAAATTTATAGTTTTAAAGCACTTACTTGGATATTTTTCAATTATTATAATTAAAAAGTCACTTAGAGTAAAATCTTTAACTAAGGTATCAATATTTTTAATAACGATGCTTTCAACTTGGAAGTTGTCTTCCTTAAGCTGCTCTCTTAAATCCATATTGATTTCCTTTCCATTTTCATCAGTTACAATAAGAATTCAAGGTTTCTTAGATATTTTTAATCCATCATTTCCAACCAAAAGTTTTTTTATGTTGCTTTGAAACACAAATATTTTCAAATAAATTAAAAAAAAAGTGTTTTGTATAATATTGCTTTTGTTTTTTTAGGTGTGAACCTTCTGATAGGCACAGAACACGGACTGATGTTACTTGATAGGAGCGGACAAGGTAAGGTGTATCAACTGATATCGAGAAGGAGATTCCAGCAGATGGAGGTCCTCGAAGGGCAGAATATTCTTGTGACCATATCGGGGAAGAAGAACAGGGTTAGAGTATATTATCTTAGTTGGTTGAAGAGTAAAATCTTGAGGACAGATGGAGTGAGTGATGTAAGTAAGAGCTATTTTTACCAAAATTACGTTAATTTCACTGCGTTTTATTTTTCTGTGAATACTCAGAATGTATTTACTTACAAAGTACATAGTCATCTTATAGAATATAAATTAGCGTCATCTTTTGTTTATAATCAGTACTGAAATGACTAAGAAATCTATATAGGGACGGAATTTTCAATATAATGAATTGAACAAGGTATAATAGGAACTTGCACATGTCAAAATTGTTGCTATATACTAAACACTAAATGACAAGTGATTATTGTTGCAGCAAGTAGAAAGGCGAAACGGTTGGATCAACGTAGGCGACCTGCAAGGGGCGGTCCACTTTAAAATAGTCAAATACGAACGGATAAAGTTCCTCGTCATCGCTTTGAAAGACAGCATCGAGATCTACGCCTGGGCACCGAAACCCTACCACAAGTTCATGGCGTTCAAATCGTTCTGCGATCTGCAATATCGCCCGTTATTGGTTGATCTTACCGTCGAAGAGGGCACTAGGTTAAAGGTCATATATGGTAGCAGCGATGGTTTCCATGCCGTGGATTTGGATTCGGCTAGCGTTTATGATATTTATTTACCCAAAATCGTAAGTGCTTCTTGATTTTTATGCGTGAATTTTAAACGAAAATGAAAGGTTTTCACAGAAAGGTTACACATTAATGAAACATAAGTATATTTAATATTTTTTTTTTTGTATCATATATGTATTTATACTTTTTCTATTTTGAATTGAATATTTTAACAATAATCCAATAATCCGAAATGTTTCAACCGTCCTATATACATAAGCGTACCGAATTTTTATTTGTTCTAAAATATTTTATATTATAAACATCATATATGCGTTTCCATATTGATTTTTTCAAGAATATAATGGAATAAAATTAATAACGACCAAATTTATTTAATTATTCTGATAATATAATTATTAAGTGAAAGTTCAAATCATGGATTTTAAATAAACTTTACAAAGCTACGAAAATATTCCATGTTTGGGGAATTAGGAAATTGTCAAATTTGGTAATCTAATACGGAAAATGAATGTTTGCAATTAATTTTAATCCTCTTCAACTTAATTCATCTAATCACTATGCTTTTATAACCTTTGTCAGTTCTAAACTCATAATTTCTGAATAATGATTAATATGCATCAGAAATAGAATTTATTCATCTTTGAGAATTATACGCTATACAAAGACACTAGGTACATAATGTATAATCCTATCAGATTAGTCAAAAAAGTGTTAAGTAAAATACATTAAAAAATCAAATATATATAATAGACAATTCAATCAATTTATGTTAAGATTAGTTTAAAAGTTCAAGAAATCTTCTATATTATAAAATACATTATTTACAAGAAAATCATTAAGATGTTTTCTTAAATCATTACGACTAATTTGATGATAACCTGTAGTATCTTCTAATATGTTATTGAACTTATTGTAACACTTAATCCCAATATATTTTGGTGAATGATGGTTTATTTGTAGTCGTGAAAACGGTTGATGGATGTTAAATTTTAATCTAGTATCATATGAGTGCAGGTCTTTATTTTTCTTAAATATATGCTCATTATCTTTTATGTATAAAATTAGTTGAAAAATAAAAAGGGAAGGTAGTGTTAAAATTTGCATTTTCTTGAAAAGTTCTTTACATGATGTTGTTGGTGTCACCTTATACATGGCTCTCAGGACCTTCTTTTGAGATACACAAGCTCTTTCAAAGTATGGTGAAGAACCCTAAAATATTAACCCATATTGTAATGTTGAATGAACCAAACCAAAATAGCATAGTTTTAAAGTATCAAAAGATAGTGTCTCCCTTAAATTTTTGATGATTTAACAACAAGTACTTAATTTTGAAGTTACCATTTTTATATGAGCTTCTCAATTTCATTTGGGATCTAATATTATTCCTAAAAATTTTATGTCATCAACGCTTTGAATAGTTTTACCGTCAACGTGCAAGTAGGGTTCATAATCTGGTAATATGTTTTTGGGTAGAAATTGTATGAAGTTTGTTTTTGTTACATTTAATGCCAGACCGCTATCTTTACAATACTGGTTAAACTCACGAGATGTCCCTCTTACTACTTTGAGTGACCTATTCAATTTGATCATCTGCCATTACAATATTGGTATCATCAGCATATTAAACTATTTGTTGAAAGCTTAAACAAAAATTACTTATATCACTTATAAAAACTGTAAAAAGAAGTGGGCCCAAAATTGAACCTTGGGGAATTCCTATTGTACATGGAAGAGGATCAGATTTTAGACTATTTGTTACAATTACTTGAGTTCGATTTATTAAGTTTCATTCCATTCATAAGGTTTCCCTCGTATTCCTAACCCATTCATCTTCAATAATAAAAGATTATGATCCACCATATCAAATGCACGGCTAAGGTCATAGAAGAGTCCTAAAATGTTTTTTTATCGTTGAGTGCTTAGTATATAAACTCTAGGCAAGCTACAATTGCAGTAGATGTTGACTTATTTTTTCTAAATTCATTTTGAGTATCTGGCAACATATTAAAACTTTCAAGGTAATTGTTGAGTCTAATAGAGTATGCTGACTCAAATATTTTAGTTATTTGACTAGGATATACAGATTAAACGATAATTTTCTATATTAGATGCAGATCCCTTATTTTTATAAACAGGAATTTCTTTAGATTCCTCAATATTTGGGAATAATCCCGAAACAAAGGATTCATTAATCAAATGTGATATGGGTTCAGCAATACAATGAGCAACCGATAACAGAATTTTACCATTTATTTCGTCAATACCTTCAGTGGGTTTAGAAGTAATTTTTTTGTTTATAGTTATGATTTCACTAGGAATTGTTGAAAAAAGAAAAAACTTTTATGTTTATCAATACTCATAGTATAGTTAGGTACAATATTATTTTTATTTACATTAATAAAATAGTCATTCATATAATTTACTTTTTCTAAGGGTGTTAATTTGTCATCATTTGTAAGTTTAATAGGATTCAATAAGTTGTTTTTTCTTTTTCCCCTACTCTCGTTTATTATAATCCAGGATTCTTTCATTACGTTATTACTTTTTAAAATGCGATCATTATTTTTTCTTCTCAAATATTGTTTTGTTATTTTTTGATACTCTTTTTTTAAATTATTGTAACGTTCTGTATAATATGTAGAATTTATTTCTCTCTTTAACCTGTTCATTTCACATAATAGATTATGTAACTCTTTAATATGAGGTGGAATCGGTTTTTTTAATTTTTGTGGTGTTATCGCTTTCTTTGTTTTCGTAAATACAATATTGTAGTAGTATAGGAATGATTCATAAAAAATAGAAAATTTATCATTAAAATTAGTAGATGTGTATACTTCACGCCAATTTTCAACTGATAAAATATTTATAAAAGTTATTGCATTAGGATCACTTAAATCTCGTTTATATCTGTATTTAAATTTGTTATTTTCAAAATTAGGTAGTTTAATCGAACATAATAAGTAGTTATGATCAGACAAAAAAGTATCATATACACCCACCTTATCTACATCAAAATTGGTAAAAAAAATTATCTAAACAAGTTGAGGTTGTACTTGTTGTTCTCGTTGCAACATTTATATAATGTTTAATATTAAATTCCTTCAATAAGTCAATTAAAACAGTTTTTTAATTACCTTCAATCAAAAAATCTACATTAATATCACCACAGATATTTTTGATAAATATTATGAATTAATAGCTCTAGCTGATTTATAAAAGTGCTAAACTTAGTACAAGGTGGCTTATACACAGTAATAATAAATAAAAAAAGTTTAGAAACGATCTTTATTTTTCCACCACATACTTCAAATTCACCTTCTATACCACCACCTATGTAAATTAATTGATTCAAAATTTGCAGCAATACTTGTTTTCATAAATATACTAGCAGCACCTTTTTCTTTATTTTTCCGTGAAAAATATGATATTAGCTTAAAATCGTCAATTGAGGTAGCTTGTAAATTGTTAGAATCAAGCCAATATTCAATAACACATAGAATATTTACAGTTTGTTTCTGTAAAATGAAATTTAGATCAAAGAATTTATTGGCAAAACCTCCCTGTATATTGATATAGGAACTGCAAAATAGTAATTCGTTATTTTCTTTCAAAAAGTGGTTTTCCATAGTAGTCCTTGAGGTTCCTATTTTATCAGGTTTGAAGTAGAGGCTAGGTTTGAAAAATTTTCTTCACTCTTATGCGATCTCTGGTTTTGTGAATCTTCAAGAAATCGCTGACCTTGTTTAAAGTTGAATCGGGAATAAATTATATTTTTCGGCCAAAAATCTGATTTATATACTTGCTCCTGAAAATGAGGAAGTATTCCCACTAGAAAAGTTTGATTATTATGTCTTACAAAATATGTGTCTAGTTTCTTCACATAAATGTCTTCTGCGTTTGTGCGTTTATGAATGTATTTCTTAACATTCTCTTCATTTACAGTGTCTGATACTCTAGATACAAAGGGCCAAATTTTTTTGTTTGATTTTTCCCTTCCTTTAAATTCATCATCATCATCTTCTCCACTTCCTATAATTGTTGTTTTTTCTCCTTTGACGTCTTGTTACTGTGATAATTTTCATTCTCATGACTCCCCTCATTGGTATAGAGAAAGTAAAAGTTGAAAAGTCTTTTGGTAGGTAGAGAGGGGGTAAACATCAAACCACGTCGGGCGGCTCCGAGAATTTCACAGTAATGTTTACCTGCCAGTGTCGTTTCATAGAATAAGTAATTTTAAATTGTTATCGGCGGAACCGGACAATCGCATGTATTTATGGATTATAAATAATTATTAAACATGTATTATAATATTCAAATTATAATTTTACAAAATTTCAACAGCTATTCACAATTTATTAAACTATTTACTCGAAATTGTTATTAAAATCTATAAAATAATTTTGTACGCCAATGTATCGCGTCCACTTCGGTGAGATCCGGTGCCAACCTGTCAATTTATGTGTATAAAGTGGGAAAACTGGCAAAAGCATTTCCAACTTTTACTTCTGTTCTATCATCTGCTAGATTTATTATTTCATTAGTTTTTTGTTGGGTTTGAATTTTCAATAGTTTTAATGCAACTTGTTTCCTTTGGAGGAATGAGTCATCCTCTACAGGGGCATTCCTATAATCGCTTGTGTTTTTGTTTGGTATTAAATGTTTATTTCCAACAGGTATACTCACACTTTCAGTTTTTGTTTGTTTTGGTTTTTCTATAAAAACTGGTCTTTTATTATCACTGATAGATAAGTTTTGATTTTTATTGTCAACTCTTATAAATTTAGGAATTATTTCGTTATATTGTGTTCGCCGATCAGAATATTTCATTTTTTCATTTTTAAGATTTCTATTTTTTCACTCATTAATTAGTTTGTTAGTTTTTGTTCTTCTAAGTTCAAAAGGATGTCAGTGGGTAGAATCTGGGATTCGAGTCTCAGTAACTGACATAACAATAAATAATTTAAAAGAAGCTAAAACTAGCTTTTTGGCCTTATGGTATTTTAAATTACTTTTGCGGTGTGCAATATGTACACAAAATATTTGGTTTTTCAAC